ACTGATCATCCATTACAAATATCACAAACATAGGCTACATAACATTTTATATAGAACACTGTGAATTTAATTGGTTAGTTAGTGTGATAATATGATATTTTAAATCGACCACATCTTTATCAGTAGGGCAAAGATTTTTAGGACCTAAACATGCTTAAATTTGCAAAATAAAATTTGATGTTTATGTCCTGAAACATGGAAAAATAATCCGTGTCAGGAATGCAATGTATTATAAAATCACAATCACCAGGTAGGATTATTAAGTTACTCACTCGTTAAATCAGGGTATAAAAAGAAGTATGCAAGTAACAATAGCCTTACCATTAATACTTCTGAGGAAAACTACAATATAGAGTTGGTTTGTTAATACAAATACTGATGAAGATATTTATACAATCTGACTATAGAAATGATAAAATGCATACATGGTTTGGGGTTTTATTTTATACGTGTTAACATTTTTTTCTGTACTGGCTTTTTAGAAAAAAATACTAATTTAGGCAAATTTGTTTAAATTAATTTAGATGTTACTGAAGTATATTTTTTCTTTAAAACGAATTCAATCGTGCATCTTCAGAAGGAATTAATCCGTTTCCATTTATACAGTATCTAGGTCACTTAGGAAATAGAGTCCAAGGACATCATTTACACATTTACACATCACGGCTCTTGACAATGAAACTAACATCACACCTATGGTATCATAAATTTAACGTACTGAATTTTTAGTGAGACATGGCAGCGCATCTAAACTTGTCACTACCTTTTCGAACTAAGGGGGTTGAGCCGTCACGTCTAAAATACATTTTTCAACTTCGTGCATACACTTGATCCACTTTGATTCTAAAACATTCACTTGTATTCCTTTGCCACTGAAGGTTAAAGATACCTGATACGTTTTCACAAACAATTTTGCGACAAACACATGAATGAATATTGAGATGATGAATTAATTATTTAAAGTTTACGGATATCAAAATATACGCAATCTCCTAAGTCTTTTTCTCGAATAGAGAAAAGTACACTAAAGTAAAAATGGTGCATTAAGAGAATTTTCCCTTAATGAAATCTGTTAAAAAATTAGATATCTAAGTCAAGTTCAATTTAAAAAAAGACGAGTAGTTTTTTTTTAAGTAAAGTAATTTATAAAAATATTTTCTTCAAAAACTGTTCTATTTTAAGAAAAGCATTTTCCCTTCAACTAGAGCAGTGGATGCTTATAAAAATGGCGTAGATACGAGTACTTTCTTGAGCTCTCTGAATTTTCGAAAATTACTAACGTAAAATAATGCGAGAAAGTATGTGATATTGTTGCACCGCCACATTCGTCTTAAATTTGTTTAATGGGGGAATGGGGAGTAGTTTCCCAGCCAGCGTAGCAGACGTGAAGAGATTTGTGTGAATGGATTCTTAGCATAGTAAAAAACTTTTTTAAATCTAGTACTAGATTCGTACACACAACTTTTCTTGATACTCAAGCCATCCAGTTGTTGCCCAGCGCAGAATAGCATGGCCCATTGAGAAACATTGGTCCCATTTAGAACGGCACGTATACACGTTCAATGTTGCCATTATCTACCCTAAACCTCTCAAAATCGCTTCAAAGTCACATACTGTTTCCTTGCGTCGATGCATTTATTCTTGCTTTGCGAATAATTGTTCTTATATTTTACGAGTATTAAGCTTTTTTAAATTTTATGATTGGGATAAACAATAAGATTTTTTCTGTTTTCTTAACTACTCCATCTATTAGAATTCATGGTTATCTTAAACTTGGTGAAGGAAGAGGGAGAAGATTCTGATACAAACAAATGAAAAAAAAAAGATTTGAATTCGAAGCTTTCAAAAATACAAATTAATAAGCCCAAGTAAAGATTTACTTTGCTGATAAAATGGCTATTGAAAGTCGTGACATAATTATTTGTCTTCCACCTTATAATTGCGAGCAGAAACGTGTTCATTATTATTAAAGGAATTGTGGAAAAGGTGAGTATTAGAAAGAGCAATCGACATTATTGTGGACGTTGCAGGAAGTCGGGCAGGAAAAGTGTCAGATATTCCGATGACTCGCCAAGTGTAAGTTGATTCCACACTTGACGCGCGAAGTTCACCTCAACAGTTCGCATGCTTAGTTAAAACTGTCACTAGGCAGATCCACCTACCTTCCCCCCGCTGTGGAATGTGAATAAAACTTACGCCTATGCATATTACATAAATAGGGAGAATCAACGGACATGGAATAATATAACGAAAATGTGCTCACTTACTTACTGGTCATTAACAAAAGTCTGTGTAGAACACAGAAGGTACACTAATGTTTGCTTGCTGAAACAAAATGAAATTTTTTAAAGTTTCTATCCTGAATTACGAGTATTTTGAGTACATGCTTCCTATGAAACATTCATACGTGTTAAACAGTACAATAGTATTTTGCCTTAATTATTACAAAACGAAAAGGATTGGCGGCGGCGATGGTGTAACGGTTAGCGTACTGGACTGTTGTACCCAAGTTGGCGGGTTCAAACCCGATCGAAGCCGTGGATTTTTATGGGCGAAAAAATCCTTCGTACGCCTTCCTTCGGAGGGGAAGTAAAGCCGGCTGTCCCATGTTCGTGTATTTACTTGCATGTAAAAGATCCTCAAGCCTAAATGACGCCTCTGAGCTAAATTCAAATCGCCTGTTTCTCGCCCGAGAAATACTTCCTTTCTCTCCTAGTTGGTGATAGGAGCGTCGCGAAATTTGCGTGGTTAGACGGAAGAGCGGGCCTGATGGCCCGAGTCTCGCCACGTAAAATAAGGCCAATTCAATTCAAAAGGATTAACAGCAATGTTTTCAATATCAAATTTTCTTCGCTTACGTTTCGCCAAGGCTCACAGTACCAAAAATAATCGTGTTGTGATTCCGAAATTTTATAATGCAGTTGAGAAAGAGTGTTCATCTTACTGAGCTGCACCTGTGAGAGCAAAGTATCAAAAACTTCCGGAATCTGAGTAGTTTACCAATAGACACGGAATGTAGCGGAGACGGGGCGGTAGAAAATTTGTTTGAAAACTATTACTACTGCTACTTTTCCAATAATGAAACATTGTAAATGCTGATGGTTTCAGATATTACATTCTTGAGGAAACAATAAGAGGACTTGGTATTACTGTTCCCGATTACTGAAAGTGCCGAAACGAGATGAGAGCAGCAGTTACAGCGTTTCATATATGTTAAGTTAAATATTCGACTTCGTCGAAGAGACGATGCAAGAGCAAAGAAAACATAACAACATTTAATAATGTTTGGCGGACTTTAATATTTTCCAAGAATCTTCGTAACAAAATCAAAATGTTATTTGTTTTTCCCTTTTGAAGACGTTTGCTATGCAGAAGTTATTTCGATTTAAGTTCGCAGTTATCACACGCCTAGGCTGTTAAGAGATTTTAAGCTTTTGTCGAAATATTGTATTAAAATAATGGTAAACAAATCAAAAAATCAACTTAAGGAATCATTGCACACACAAATATCATAGTTTAGGTTTACTATATTTTTCAATGTGGTCGAATTCTGGAAATGGTATAATTTTCACACAGGAACAGCAAAAATTTGCTAATATTTGCTTTGCTCGGCATAACATAATGACCTAATTAAAATATGTACGTTATTGACATAAGGAATACCCAGGAGGTACTCCCGTAGAAACCTATCGCAGTGCTCAAATAGAGATAAAATCGACTCTTTAGGTACTGAAATTGTGTGTAAAACGTTAAAAATAACAGAAGCATAGGGGTTTACATTATTTTCTTGTTATCATAATGTTATCATAATATCACAATGTTCCAGATATTCCTCAGGGTTTTGAGAAGAATATGCTGAAGAGATATTGCATTTTTTCTACCTTTCGTGATAAATTTACATTCCTTAAAAGTACGCTTCGCTTTTAACTATATCATTGGATAAAAACCCATTCAGGACAAATGTTTTCTGCATATTAAATTAGAGCTTTAAGCTTTTTCAATGAAAGACAAAATGTTTATTTGTGCAAAATATTTGGCGCCCCGTAGCCAATTTTATACTTGTATGTGGCAAATCCCTCTTCATACAAGAGTCAATCGCGTATTTCCGTTGACAGGAGTCCCAAGATTCAGAGAGTGCCACATTCCCTTGAACCGCAATACTCCGTCTGATCGTTATATATCCAGTGGTGAGGAGAGATCCATTCGACTGAAAATTTCGTGTCCCCAACTGCTAAGTGTAGTGCATGTTTGCAGAGGTGGCGGTGAATGGTGGGATTCGTCGCCGACCTATAAGTTGGCTAGCGGGGGTTTTTCCCCAACCAGCTTTCTCACACCTCCTGGGGCTCCGTCCCAGCCGGGACAAGCTGTAAGCTTCCGACGTGTGTGGTAGTTGTAGTAGTGTGTGAAATAAGTGTCAATGTATTATATAAGCAAGGTATGATCGCGCGCGGTCCGTGGTCCATTTGTTAAGGTACTGCTCCAGCATTCACCTGGTGTGGATTGGAGAAACGATGGAAAACCACCGGTCAGAGCAGCGGGGCACTAGAATTTTCCTCTAGAGAGCGGCTGGATTCGACTTAACTATCTAGTGTCGAAAATTCTGCCACCGGCGGGTCTCGAAGTCACCGACCTACACGTCAGAGACACTGCAGTGACTTCAATTGATGCCCTGAACCAACTAAGAAAGTATGAGAGTTCCAAATGTGCGGTATTATGTGGGAGCCACCTATATATATTCAATTGGCTGTCCAGGTGACGCCGAGTCCATGGCAATGGTGCCAAAGGTGCCAATCCCGGACAGCCAATTAAATTATTGACTCCGGCCGCGGAAGCCTACGCTCTCATCAATATATTTTAATATTTCCATCAGACCTTCAATTGTTAACATTTCTCTCCAACTCCTGAATGCTTCCTTATTGGGCGAGAGGACATTAACAGGCGGCGGTTGCGCTGCTCTCAGAACCTGGCGGTTCGCAGCCGCCAGGCGGGCGGGCACTCACCACGTTGACGAAGTCCTGGAACGTAATGGCAGTAGTCCGGCGCTCGCGCGCCCGCTCGGCTAGGATGTCGCGCTTGTTGGCGTCCACCTCGGCGAGGAAGTCCGGCTGGCGCAGCGCCTCCAGGAACTCCTCCCAAGGGATCTCCCCGAAGCCCTCGGGGTCATACTGCAAAACCAGAGCAACGCTTGTTCTAGCAAATTCTCTCTCTCTCTCTCACTCTACACAAACAAAAAATCACTAACTTCGATGGTACTTTAGTCAATAAAAAATAAATACTTTCGTTTTCAAAATGCTAAATACCTCCCAAAATGGAAATTTCGGTTTCAAATTCCAAGATCGGCGACATCAGATAGAACGATTGGGGAATATCAATTTTGGACAAACATGGCTGAACGGTTTATGCGCTAGCGTTGTGCACAGATGGACGGACCGACGGACCGAAGGATCGACGGGCAGCCAAGACGTTTTGCCGTCAATCGATTTTTCGGTATCAAGGATCCAAAAAACATAAATTCTGGTTACACCACGTGTTAGAGGAATTTTCTTTCAATGTTTAGCAACATATCGGATTTATCCTCTTTTTCCTTACCAGGGCCCGGCAATAAGAGCTTTTGTGACGAAAATTCGCCGTTTTCCTGCGCACGATTTCAATTCTTTATCTTCTAGCGTTAGTTAGTGCGCGAAAGTAAAAATGAAAGAATTAAAATGATAGTAACTATTTACTTTCAGTGATCGAAATGATGAATTTTCGAATTACGTGCTCAGCACAAAATATTAAAACTCCGGAGTAGAAATTCTAATTTACTTCTAAAACAGTGTTTGATAAAATGGTATTAGACTTGTAATAAGGGCAACTCGTTTTAAGCGGCCAGATTGCTTCTCTTTCACCTCCGTGATCGCGGTTCAAATCCTGGTTTTCATGATCCTGATCCATGTGCAATAAATTGTGATGTCACAGCTGGTTCGCAATTGGCTTTCTCTGGCTCTCCTGTCTTTAACTCCACACTCCGCCGTCGTTATCTATAATTCATATTCTGAGGTTGACAGGTTGGTGCAACTGGTGCATCCCGGGGCCCCCATGCTGGAAACAGCCGGGTGTGCTCCTCGGGTGCACCGATGTTTGCTCGTACTGCGCAGAACCAGTTTGCGCCACGATCAACGTAACCACAACATGAGCACTCCGTTTGAAAAGCCATACCAGACGTATGCCACTATGTTGCTTTGAGATCGAGAAGTGTAGAGATACATTTTGAAAGTGGTGTAAAGTGAAAATTTCCAACGATGACCAACCAAAAATGACACGATAAAGGTATAATTGAAATAGAATACAGAATAAAAACAAGTGGTGCTACCGAATGGCGCAGTTTTTTCCGTATTAGATTTTCCTCTTTCCTTTAGTCTCTTTCAGTGTCATCTTGTGCTGGAGCACCATCTAGCAGAATTACATTAATTGAACAATGTCTATACCCTTTTCACAAGTGAAAGCAATAAATTGACAAAGTTTTATCGAAACCTGATGAACAGTATGGCAGCGCATTAAACACGAACCAACAATCAAATATGGTTGTTAACTTTCCCGCGCTTACTAACGTAAGAAGAGAAAGTAATGTAATCGTGCCGGAAGTTGGCGAATTTTCGTCACAAAAACTCTTATTGACAGGCCTTGGTAAGGAAAAAATGGATACATCAAATACGTCGCTAAACATAGAAAAAATATTCCTGGAACTCTAAATTTGTATTTTGGGAGGTACTTTACACGAAGCCCCTGAGACATTTTCAAAATGTTCAAAAAATGGCCCCAGATTTTTTGATTAAATTTTGTGTTGTCGGATAGTGCAAACGACGTTTAAGAGAATGCTGCAGGTCTCATATTCGTTAACATCCCAGATTTTTCAAAACTTGGAAAAAAAGAGTTTAAAAATCGAGATGGAGTTTTTTTGTCTCAAAGTCTGTTGTACAAAATTAGCTCTTCATTCAGGTTACGTACATTTTTTTTGAAAAAAGAGTAGTTTTTGTGTATTTTGCGATTGAAATTTGGAAAAACCATTTTTCTCAAAAACAATTTTCTTAAATTTTCTTTCAATTTTCTTCAATTTTCTTTACATTTTTTTTTTTTACTTGTGTAATAAGAGGTAATAGAAATATAGTGCCAATCTCATTTTCAGGTATTGCTCTTTCACACATGCCACATCAATTGAGAATAACTTCAGTAGCACTTATTTTGTTTGTATCTTCTCTCTTCCGCGAAACCATGAACGCTCTGTGTTGAAAAGCAGCACTGCTTATCGCATCTGAAGTGTGGATGTTTACGAGAAGGTGTGCCATTCTGCATTATTATTTACTAGTTTAATATTGCACATATTTAATTGAATATTGCGCAAAAACTACTAAAATTTTCAAAAAATAAACATGACTTTATTGAAAGAACTAATTACGCTAAATAAATTTCATTGAAAGGAAAAAATCTTTCATTTTGTAATTGTACGAAAACACCAAAAATTTCAAACGTTTGCAATTTTCGAAAATGCAAGTTGGCAGTGGAAAAACGGACCTTCGCCCTCATAGAAGTGCATTTACTCTATTCATAGAAGACATTTAAAGAAAACATATGGAGCCATATTTAATTGAGTCGACTAGCGGGATTTCCCTACCAAGTATCTCCCACCAACGGGGACAAACTCTAAGCTCCGGAATGGTCTCCCGGCATGAGAGCTTGTGTTGTGCGTGTAACGGGAGAGGAGAGGACAAGATAGAGATAGAAAAGATCTCGTGAGGTCCGTGGCCCGTTTGATAGGGTACTGCTCCGGCATTCACCTGGTGTTGATCGGAGAAACTACGGAAAACTACCGACCAGAGCAGCCGCCCGATAGAAAATCTCCTCCAGACAGTGACTGAATGCGACCTAGCTGACAAGCTAAAGTCGAAAATCCTGCCACCGCGACAGTCGGGATTCGAACCTAGGATCTCCCAGTCAGAGAGACTACAGTGCCACCAATTGATGCCCTGATCCATCTCTTTCGGTGGCATTTTCGAGAATTTTTTTAAAAATCCTAAGGGCTTCGTGTAAAGCACCCTCAAAAATGGACGAATGTTATTTCAAATCGCTGAGCTTTGAGTAAGGCCCGATCTACCGGGACAAGTCAGTTTGGAAAACATCGTAAAAATATTTGAAACGCTAGTGTTTTTCTGAGACGACATACAGACACGGAAAGACAGATCGACATTTTGATAAAAAACAAACACTTTTTCGTTATCAGGGAACCCCAAAACTTGTATTTCCGTTGAAATCTCAAAATCATGTATTGAGCATTACATAACATTTTTTATACTACGAATATTACTGCGTATATTCGTACATATACAAGTGAAACTCGTCGCTTGAACTAAAATTACGCGGAGATGGGCACTTCCTTTTGCTTCCTCCCCTAAATTTTACGAAGCGGAGATGTCCTTACGCTTAAACAAGGGTAATGAACAAACTTCTAATTAACTACAAATACTTAGGTTCCTATAACAAATGTACGGTTGTATTAAAACCTTTTTTATTTTCCTATTCTCATATTTCGATACCGCGGCTTTATCATAGGTAATGCCACAAGAGCTTTGGAAATAGTCGATAAATTCCCGACTCGCGAAGCAGAGGGGCTTTTAACTGAGAATTTCCAAAGCACTCGTGGTATGTAATAGGACTATTCCACGAGTTAAATTATGTCCAACAGTTCCAAAATGCGCCAAATATTGAAAATTACTGAAAGCCTATATTAAAATAACAGGTTATGTTATAGTACATAGGCGGTTTATTGGACATCGACATAGCGATCGATGTATAACGCCTCCTAAGATAGACGAGTCACGGTTCATGATTGGCCAACTGGTCGAAACGGTAAGAAAAATCGGATAGAAAAAGCGAAAAAAATTTGAGATACACCGCCCGGATTAGGGCATTTTGTATGCATAGTTTATCTGTGAAATAGTCTCTTAAAACTATTTCGCCAAAATCGCAATCAAGTTTTATGAAAAACTTCGATTATGTGTCGTCGCTCATGAAATGACGTGACTTCACGGAAAAGGTGTCTGCTTCATTATAGTTAGATTTGTTTTTCTAGATCCATTGTTATTCCCTTGAGTATGATAAGAATCTTTGACTTTTGTGGATACTGCCACTTGTAAATCAACGTTCAATCAAATCAAGATTCTGAAAACTCGCCGTGTGAACAGAAAAGACATGAGAAATGCCATAAAGTTTCGTTTATATTACATCACTGCTTAAATATAAAGTGTAGATTCGATTCTCGATGAGGGGAGTGATTTAACCACGGCACATTTGGATTTACTTGCTTACTTAAGGAAGGGGTCGAACATCTTCATTTGATATGAAATATTGAGTAATGATATCATAAGACCTAGTCGCCTTGAACGACATTTTTAAAGAAACATGTTTCTGATAAAGACAGACCAAAGGACTGTTTTTCTGCAAAGTCATGAAAATTAAAAAGAATGAAGTTGGATAGAACTGGATTTGTTGCTCAGTCATCTGAAAAAGTGCTCGAAGCTTCATATGAGCTATCACTTCTTATTGCTACGCAAACGAAAAGTCATAATATTGGAGAGACGCTTGTTAAAACATGCGTATTAAAAAAAACAGCTAAAATTGCTCTTGGAGTAGATAGTAGACACAAATCATCACAAATATCGCTTTGCCAACACTGAAATGTCGCAATGCTGATATGGCAGAAAACACCAAAATCCAAGTAGTTGATGGAATAAAACAATCAATTTTTTGCAATATAGCTGGACGAGAGTACAATGTTGTTAGTTAATAGATATAATGAAAATGGCAGAGTGAAAGACGAGGTACTGTTTTCTACAGAGTTGACAACAACTACAAAGGCTGCTGATTTGATGAAAGCACTCTCGGATTTTTTGACAAATATGAACTTTCATGGGAAAAATTCATTGGTGTATCAACAGTTGGCTCTCCTTTAATGCTTAGTTCTCGCCCAGGATTTATGCAATTATTGGTTAGAGAGAAAAATGCTTTGACTGCGATACAATGTTTCATACACCGTCAAGCCTTGCCAGCCAAGACGCTTAAAACAAAATCCATGTTTTCTTTGCATTAAATACTCGCCTTTTTAATACTCCCTCCGATGATTTAGAAACAGACCAGAAACACCAGTATTTGATACAGAAACACACTGACCCTCCAAAGGAAATATTTTGGCAAGGTTATTTGAGCTGCGAGATGAAGTAAATACCATTTTAGAAAACCAATACAAAGACTAAGATTGGATATTAAAACACCCAGTGTTCACGTGCTTATTTGAACTTGCCTGATTTCTCTGATTTATTGAAAACCGGCGTCGCTACCCGAATTCGTTTACTAGGCTTCCACGAAGGTTAAGCAAATTTAAGACTAGCGGGTTGGGTGACCGGCTAGGAGCCCCGGGATCTAACGGCGTCGAGATCCTGGCCGAAGGGATAACAAGCACTGAATGCAACGTGACGAGACTTGACATGATAGTAAAGGAGGATTACTCCATGTACGTGCTCAACGCCCAACAAGAGTTCAAGAGACGCGTTGCTTTAATGACGCAACAAATTATATTTTCAAAAAATTAACTTAAAAAATGGTGAAATCATCAAGACTTATATTGAGAAGCTGCAACTTTGGAACCGTAAGATTTTGGCACACCCCTACACTTATTCATGTTTCACCAAACTAATTTGTCTCGGAAGAAACACGTTTTAAGGAGGTTTTTGAAGGCGCATCGCATTTATAAACAATATAATAATAAAACAAATAATAAACCATTTGGAGCACCTCATTTAAGAATTGAACACGTACTTTCCTAAAACTTGTTACGACATTTACAAACAACGAATCCTTTCAGTGTGAACATACACTTCCTACCCGAAGCTCTTAAAGAACAAGCATTAGAAATTTAAAAAAAGTTCCTGCTGTCAAGTACGTTTTTGATAAAATGGACAAATCATCTTTTGGGGTTACGTAATATAAAGGATACCCCAGTGTACCACAGCAAGCGCTACTATTGTATCTAGTATCTACCTCTCTCAAGCAAATATATCTGTGCGAGAAAGCGTTTCCAGCAATTGTATACAATGAAAACAAAATATCGCCGGAAACTTGACGTTTCGAATGATTTACGTTGCGCACATTATGATTCTCAGTAAAATATGGGGAAGCTGATAAAAAAAAAATGCAAATCCTCCTTCTCGCTGATTTTTCGTGCCCTTTGCACGTTTAATTTAAACTGAAATATTAATTAGGCATCACTCCGATAGGCATAAATCGTATTGCATTTTCTTGAAGAAATCGAAAAAAACAACCGTACATTTCTACAAAGGTCCAAAAATCATAATTAACTCGTAATATTGTAAAGAGTAAAGTAGTGCTACAGAATGGCACCGACTTTCCCGTATTACTTTTCTATTTCCTTCGGTATCGTCTAGCCATTCGCACTCCCAGCATAGTCTTGCTAGCTGTCATCTATCGCTAATTCTATCCATCCTATCCAAAGTACATTTCAAAAAAATTAAATTTTCGGTTTTCTAATGGTAGAGCGGAATAATTATTTTAAGAATATTACAGAACAGTAAAATTTAGACCGAAATAGCAATTGTTTTTAAAAAATTGGAGCCTTTTTAAGAAAATGGTGTTTCTGAAAATGCGGAATTATGAGCCAGTTTTCCCAGAAAACTCTTAGAGTTTATAGGAGAAACAGTATTGTCATTATTCAAAACAGATGTACTCGTAAATGTAATAATGTGAACAAATCGCCGCTCGTGTAAATATAAACGACGTGAGAGACAGGCCAAAAAGCGTTGCATTTTTGTAATTTTTGAAAAACAAGACTAGAGCAACATTGCGATGATGTCATCTCATAGAGTACATTTAACGCTACCCCTACCAAAAGTTTAAAGAAAAAGTAGTGCCGTTTTTTAGAAAATCTTGTTTTTGAAATTTTAAAAAAATATACATATTGCGCGAAAACTACTAAATGTTTCAAAACAATGAACGTGATCTTAATGAAAGAACTCACTATGGCGAAAAAAAATTATTTGAAGGAAAAATCGCTGTCTTCAATTTTGTTGTTGTAGGAAGACGGCGAAAAATATTCAAAAGTACGCAATTTCCGAAAATTCAGAGTTAACCGAGAAAATAGGACCTATGCCACCTTTACCAGGACAAGTGTATTCTACTCTATTCTTACTAGAAATTTAAAGAAAAATTTGGAGCCGTCTAGAGAAAATTTAGAAAATGTCCGAGGGGCGTCGTGTAATATACCGCTAAATAATGAAATTTTTTTTTTCAAAATTGGCGCCCTGAGTGGAGCAAGATCGTCCGGGGAATATCCATTTTGGAAATAATCGTAGGTATGGTTTAGGCGCTAGTGGTGTTCACAGACTGACGGATGGGCGTTTTGCCGTCAAATGGTTTTTCGGTGTCGATGACCCACAAAATCGGGATTCTGTCTACACTACATGTTAAGAGGATTTTTTTCTTAATTTAGCAACTGGGTTTGTCCACTGTTTCATTACCAGGGCCCGGCAATATTTTTTTCTGCCGAAAATCTTCAGTTTTTTCGCGCAGCATTACATAACTTTTCCTATACTACGTATATTACTCCGTATATAAGATTGTATACGGTAAAGTAAAAATAACATAAAAGTAACAAAAACAACAAATACATTTTTTACGAGAAGTATTTCACTATTTACTATCTTTCAATCATTATTAAGTTCCTCTTAGAATCGAAACCGAAAGTGTCACTACATGCAGAATTTACTACAGCGAATGTACGAATGAGATGTACCCCAAGTGCTCCTTTTACTTCACCATACGGCGAGTTTCTCAATCCTATTTCACTATTTCATAGGCTATTCTACAATTCTCCTGCTTGCAAAACAGAAGACAATAATTATTCGGATCTGATCGCATAACTGAATGCTTAGCGTCATTTTAACAGTTAAACAATTTATGTTTAAGGTGCAATTTATAGGTGCAGGACTACAGAAAATGTCAGTGCTCGTATGTGTCAAAATTGAAATAATCGTCGCACGAAAAATAATTATTAATATCACGTTTACAGAAATGAAACTATAACTACCAAAACTCCATCGTAATTAATATTTTCCAAAAGATTATGTAAAAATATTCATAAAATTTTGATGAATCACGCAATCTTGGTTTTCACATTCGCCAACACGTATTTGATGAGTGAATACGAAAAAGCAGAAAAAATATTAACCACAACCAGAAAAAAATCCAGGAAAGATAATACGAGGTCTATTCCACAACAACATTCTATACATAAATATTTCCTCAACATTCACTACATCAATACGTCTTTCAAAATGTTTCAAACATAACTGAATCATTCTCTGCATTCCTATTACTTTAAACAAAATGGCAGATCGTTCCACGGCAGATCTGTCAATGGATCCGCTGACTTGTACTCAATGAGTCCCGACCAATGGGCGTGAGAACCAGAACGGGGCCGAGTGGCCAGCGGGCCATGTCAACCTTCATCAAGCATGAATGATTAGCTAACCATCTACTGAGACAGTTTGCGGTGCAAATGGATGGAAATGTGTTTAGAACTCAATGCCCTGATCGACCTCCAACCCCCTCGCAACCCCTCGTTTATCCATAACACGGAATATAGTAAAATGATTTATGAATTTATGAATATTCAGAAATATTACGTTAGATAATTTTTTTTAAAACGTCATTGTAATAAAAAAAAGGATATATATATATATATATATATATATATATATATATATATATATATATATATATATATCTTTAACCTCGTCAGGTCAAAGCACAATCATTTACGACACTTACTAAACATTTGAAACACAGCCATTTACAAAAAAAATTACTGTTCACCGCAAAATTGCAGTTGATGTAACGTTTTCGAAATGACATTGAAAAAAGCCTGCGTTGATTCCCCAGCAGCGCCAGCTCATTTATAGAGCACTGGCCCAGATTCACTGCATTGTGAACGCATCCAGACGCAATGCGACACGCAAGAACGCAGTTCAAATTCCCTTCGCGTTCACACCCTACAGAAACGTGCTTTAACACCTTTTTATTTTTATAGAATCCTGTAGCGTCTATAATAGAAGGACTTGTCACTGGAACATTTGAATATACTAGTAAGAAACAGGAAACAAAAGCATAAATGAAGGTAGCATGGTAGTAGACATTTTGAAATTTCTTTCCTGAACAGTTTCAAATAACTGCCTATAGTATGCTGAACGATACAATTAGCTGATATCACATCAATACATTGCGCTGGTAGCAATGCTATACAAAAATGCATTTTGAATCTCGTAAAAGGGTTTTGAACTCTCAATTACAGTCGACTTTAGAACTGAGTTGACTGTAACAGTTGTTAAATGACTATCAAAGTTTACCTTCTACTGACAGCGAAGGATGGATGTCACTACGGCCCGCGGGTATCAGCTTTTGACAATAAGCTTTGATTTCCCAGTCGCTTCTCAAGAGAGTGCAAACACAGGCTAATAGGGTACCTGCTCCGGCGGATGTTCCAGTATCCTACACTCAAACGTGCGCCCCTTCTTCAAACGTCCCCTTCCGGCCATGACGAGGGGGGAGCGGGGCGAGAGGGCGACCGGCCCACGGGGGCCGCGGGCGCGGAGGCCGGCGACCCCCAAGAAGGCGCCTCCGCCACGCGGCCACCCCGCCAGGGCTGTCCGCGGCGCCACGTGCGGCCCGCGCCGCGCATTCCGACGCCAGCGCCCTCCCCTCGCGGTCCCGCCAACTTCCCGCACGCGCGCGCTCCCTGGCGACGGTCGGCCGCATCGCGTGCTCCACGCCGCGCCCGCCGAAGTGGCTGCTAGTGACACTCGGTCTAGCCAGCGGCGACGCAGCGAAACGCCCCGCCCCCTTCCCCCGGCAAGTCACGGCAGCGGAGGCGTCGCGGGTCCCCTCCTGCGCACGCACCACTTTCGAAGGCCCATTAGTTCCGGACGCTGCT